CTTACTGATTCGCTCCCGTTCTCCCTCACTGGGCCACTGAATCGCTTTCCCAGACCAATCCAACAACGCATCCAATACATTAGAGAAAATCTCTGCACCCGTCGGATCTAGTCCTTCTTTTGGAGATATCTTCCCTGCCATGATTTCGAGTGCTGTGCCGACTCTGATGGCGGTTGAGCTTTTCGTTGTGTGCTTCCATCGAGGACCCAACCATGGCTCCAAAGCATTGCATAGCACTTCGAACGTATACCGCGACATTCGAAAACGTTGCCGAAACTTTTCATCATCGTATGAATCCAAACTAGTCGAGCAATCGCTTGTAAATGTAGATGAGTTCTCAACGGAAGATCTGAAGTTATCTCGCACCGTTTCGGAAGTCGAGCTGAAATAACAAGGATTACTCCACCAAATAGAAGCATTTGCTGGTAATTTTGAAAAAAAAGATGTCATTCCTATTTTTTTTACATTCCCAAAAGCAAATCTATAAGAGCATTACTAGAGGGAATACTCATTGTGCGAGACTGGAGTTACCGTCATCCGCATAGAACACCGTACTTGAAATCGGTTCATTCACCCGGAGGCAAAGGCCCCATCTCCATGACAGCAGTTTTAGTTTTGCTCAAAGAGTCTTTCAAGTGCCCCTCCTTCACTTATACTGCTTGCGCCAATTAAAGTAAGAGAGTGTTCATACTTTCCAGTGTGCACTCGAAACAGTCAACAATCGCTTATAACGCTCACAACGCTCAACGCTTCAAACTGATCACACAAGGTATACGATTTGAAAGCCAGGTATCGCTTGACTCGACGATTAACGAAAATATCGAAAGGAAACAAAAGATAAACGTAACCTTACCTCCCCGGCTCAGTGCCATCTTTGATTGGCTGTTGTTCACACTCCTTCCCCATTAGCAGTGAGCGTCCTGGCTGAATAAAAAAAACATTCCATAAGTGTTCAAACGAGAATTCGGACAGCTAGGTCCAGTTGGTACTCTGAGAATGTGGAGGATCCGCAAGTCAAAGATAAAGCCTACGGACTATTCCAGAAGATTCGCGTTTAGGAGAAACGCAGCGGAAATATAGATAAGCCGATTAACTCCGTCTGCCTATGTTTTCGGTAAAAAAGCGATT